GAAATTCCCCCAAACTGACTGTCCGCAATATGAACAAAATAGGTATCACTAGGGTGACCCGCGTGCTCCGCAACGCGAAAAGGGATATTTTCGATCGGCGGGTGTTCGGTTGTTCTTGTGTCGGTTGGGTTATCTATCCATTTCGGTCGATTGTTTTTTGATGGCTAAACGTTTTGGTTTGGAAAAAAATATCCATCGGATCGAGGTGCCCGTGTCTGATAAGCATGCTTTCCACTTCAGAATCTGTCAAATGTGCTTTATAATTGAGGTGCGTAGTTTTAAGACAAATGAAAGGCGTAGATAATTTTCGCTAAAAATCGTTTTGCAGAGGTTTGAAACATTTATATTTTTAAGAATACTGTTGCTTGTCATGCAAACGTGATGATTGGATCTTGGAGAGAATTGAATGCTCTTTCTAATGATAGCATTTTCAATTGTCAAGCGTATCAGGTTAAGCAGCAAATCCCGTGTATCTTTTTAGTGGCACATTATGGACAAATACCATTTTAATTCAGCGATTTTTTCCACATTGTTTTTGATCAATTAGCTTTTCACAATTTTTCCATGAGAGACGGTACATTTTTATTGCTAATAGGCGCTGTTTCAACTCATTCCGTCTGACGATCACCTGAAATTAATATAAATTCCAAAATCCGTTTAAAATGGCACTTTTTGAAATGAAATTGCCCTCACACTTGCACGTGGCGCGTGCCACCCCTGCACCGCACACTATTCGATTGCCCGTTCGATTCTCTACACGATGCTGTTTTCCCCGTGCCGATCGGGCGCACGGTTACCGAGATATTGCACCGGGACCGGACCCGTGTCGGGCAAATTTAGCCATTTTCGCCCGTTTTTGCAAGCCGATTTATACATGTAAAGTCTATGACGCGAATTTGCACTTTTCGGGTACGCGCCACGCGCTCGCTATCGACCCGATCGAGCTGAGACCCCTCAAAGGCACGTTGTCCATCCTTGTTCTATGAGTTGCGCAAACTTCAGCGCGGTAGGTGCAACGGTGTGATCTGTAACCCGCGCTACGTAGCACCATGTCGCGACCTTCGTAATAGACAGAAACTACGCCCTCCTCAAATAGTAATATAGACAAGCGGCTGCGCCACTTGCTTTGCTGCGTGGTCATAAAATGCGGCACCAGCCAATTTGCTTTCGAATGGTGTTTGATTCATGTCGATGTGTTGTCTAGAAGCATAGATATGGACGGAAATGTGAAGAGAATTTAAAACAGAACTGTTCTGAGGGCGTTGTTGGATGAAATTTGGGTGATACGGGGTCAATACGGGTCAAAGGGGTCAGCCCTGGTCACTTTGGGTCAGGCCAGGTCACATAGGTCACCTCTCGTCCAGCTGGAATCAGCCCGGGCCACTGTTCTGCTTTTGCCTCCACCGCTACCCCTACCCCTACCACTACCCCTACCCCTACCACTACCCCTACCACTACCCCTACCACTACCCATACCACTACCCCTACCACTACCCCTACCCCTACCACTACATCTACCCCTACCCCTACCACTACTACTACCCATACTCCTACCCCTACCACTACCCCTACCCCTACCACTACCCCTACTACTACCCCTACTACTACCCCTACCACTACCCCTACCCCTACTACTACTCCTACCACTACCCCTACCCCTAACCCTACCCCTACCACTACACTACCCCTACCACTACACTACCCCTACCACTACACTACCCCTACCACTACCCCTACCCCTACCCCTACCCCTACCAACACCGCTGGGTCATGTCAGGTCACAGAATAATTGGATCCAATCAGTACTAAAATACCAGACTTAAAGTGTTCCCAGCCCTGCCCCTATTCGTGCCATTCCATTACCCTTACTCGATTTTGCCGGAAATGGCGCTTTATGACAAATGTGGTGCATTGCGGCAAACGCGGCGCATTTTCACCCGGCGATTGAGCATGCATCTTGGCACCAAATTGCACCCATATCGGACCATATTTGACAAAACTGTGCAATTTGCGGCAAAAATGACGCCCTGAGATAATTGTGGCGCATTGCGGCAAACGCGGTGCAATTGTATACTCGTATCACAAACTGTTTCCATCGAACGAAAATTAACACATTTTTTCGCCACTTTTCATTCAAATTAATAACTTGCCGATCCGCCAATGCGAGGCACTCGCCACCGATCGGCATGCATTTAGCTCACAAAGTTTGTCGACCCCGGCTCTCAAAGAAGATATATGAACCGATCAAAATTTCATTGGCGTTCTTCCAGCGCCCGCCACGTGCCAACCGTGCACCCCAGCGAGCCGAAACCTAGAAAAGGCGCTGACCCACTCTGTCACCTAGAAGGCGTGCAAATTTCAACCCCCTACGTCGTACCGTCTGCCCTGAAGCCGTAACAAATTGAACCCACTACACGGCGTGGCGGACACACACACACACTCACAGACAGACGGATTCTGTTCGAATAGTAAGTTAGATTTAATCCCAAATTGATCGAAGAATACGATTCCGATGCCAGTTTTTCCCTAAGGTCAAAATTGAGGTCGTCAGTTGTCAACAAACACAAGACAATTTAGACTCCCTAGTGGCCACCACATTTACCGATTTTCATGATGATCTTTAGCGGTAGTTTATTAGCTGACCAATCGTCGTTTTGAACGAAATTTTCCTGTCAGACTATGTAGTTCAGGGCACTGTTGTTCACTGTGCCAACATCATTCTCACATATTGCATCGCTTTTCTGCAAGATAAGCTAGCTTTTTGCAAGCAGCTGCAAGACGTAATTAAAAATCATATCTAATTTTTTTAATTAGACTTTTATAAAAATGTGATTTCGAGCGGCTAAAAATGAACATTTGATACTAGCCTCTGATAACTCATCTTTCGTTCCATATTGGTGCTTTGCTGCTTTTCCCTGCTACTTTTCGAGATATGCGCCAGTAAACCACATGATGTAGGGGCAATTGTCACCTCGCCGCTCTACTGAAGGCCCGGCGCTCTTTAAAGCGCTGGGAGTTGTGAAAAACAAACGCGTATAATCTGAATAAAATATATGTCCCTGAGCTCAGAATTGATCAACGCACACAATCCTGTCAAAAATTTTGGGCTTAACTCAAAAATTCAGTCATTATTAACCCCCAAACACAAGCCAGTGATAATCAACAACAACTTGCTCTTTAGTTAGACTTTTTGAGAAATGTTATTTTGAGCCGCTAAAAATGACCATACCATACAAACCACTAATCATCTTTCTGTCATACCCTACTCGCAATTTTTGCTAATGCCTGCTACTCTTCGAGGTCACGTGACCTCACCATTAAAAGTAAATGGGGAAATAAGGAAACTGTTGTTTTTGCGCATGGAATGATCTCAAACTATCTCAACCACACGTAATCGTGATTCCATGCACTCCTTGCAAGATCCGATGCTTTACTTTTGCATTTTTGACCTTCCGAGACGTCATTTATGACGTCACTACGGTCATAGGAGTTTCTCGTCAATAACTCATGATCAAATTGAGCCAGCGACTCAGGAAGGCCACCAATGGACTCGGAAAGACCTCCCGAATCGAATGATATGCAATACGACTTCCTTCGATTAAGTTCGTGGCCTGATGGGCTCTGACCTGACCTTGACTCGAGGTCAACACCTTAAATTGACCTCACCCGGACAAAAAGTATACCATTCGACGCGCCTGAGCCAGGCGAACACGATGGTGCCAAAATCGCTGCTCTGCGGTCATTTTTTGCGAAATTATTTACCAAAAACCAAACCCTACCTTGGGCTTTTTGACTTCACCTCAGAGGTTACCGGTTGACCTGGGACCTTAAAATCGGGTATCAATCGTTCCGTCTTGAAACGGCGCACACGCTTGTTTTTTCCGCGAGGCTCTAGCTCCATTAGGGGCGAAACGGCGAAAAGGGGTCGTACCAACCCTCCCCCTCGGCCGGCCGAGGGGGTGGGAGGTCCGACAATAGGTCCGGCGAGGGTTAAGCAGCCCCACTTCGTTTTTAGCATGTTTGCTTGTCACTGAGATCAACAACTCAGTCACAGATAATTTCTAGCACTTTTCCGGGCCCCCGGCCCAGTGTGCGCCGGTGCGCGGAATTGTTTGCTCTGCTGTTCCGTGGAATAACGCCGGGAGGGATGTTTTCTGGTAGGCCAGTAATTTGCAAACTTAGTTATTCTGCTCCATAAGCTATGTGCATTGCTTGTCGACGCTCTGCCAAAGATAGGTTGCAGGGGCGGGTCTCACGGCGTATTGTTCGCTACTTTGAAAAGCGCGAAGGAAGTTGTAATAGTTCGCATGTGTTCGAGCACATAAGTGTTGCATAAAACTTATGCTAGAAGAAATAACTTTGTTTTTATAGCGGAACCTCGTTTCTTGATTGTTTTGCTGGTCTTTAAAGATATTTGATATAGTTCGTTTTTCTTAAGTTTGCCCCTCACTGTAAACGTCTTTTTGAACACAGCACGAGAATTGCTAGCTGAATTACTGAGAAAACTGGTTGGCGCACATTGTATTGTAGATATGAATAATATTCTCAAAATAAGCTTTGAACACCGACGATTTAACGTTATGTTAAGCGCCGTGCAATTTACTTATTAGTTCAGACATAATTCCTGAGAAGTCGTCTATCCCTGTGGGGCTGTAGGTATTGGCAAATACGAGATACGAGTCTGTGAAATAGTAAATAAATTTGATCAAATTGATCGTCTGTCAAATCTGGTCAAATCAATGTGCGCCAACCAGTTTTCTAAGTAATTCAGCTAGCAATTCTCGTGCTGTGTTCAAAAAGACGTTTACAGTGAGGGGCAAACTTAAGAAAAACGAACTATAATCATTTACACCTTGTATTCCATCTCATTGATGTGATGAACTTCGTTATATCGACACTTTCAATAATTATATTGCATCTTTGTCATAGCATTTGCTTGTGTGTTCTGTTTTCATCACTCCTTGCTCTGTTTAAGACTTGTCGTGCCCTCTCTCCGGCAGGCACCTCCACGCCGCCGCCTCCCCCTCCGCCGGCGCCCGGCTCACCACCTCCACCGCCACCTCCGCCGCCATCCTCTGGCTCGGGCCGCTCGCCGACGCCGCCTGGCGGCCACCAGGGGGCGGGCCGGCACCGGGGTCCGGCCAGCCCGCCGCCCTCCGACACGGTGCAGGCGGCCATCCAGGACATCCGACAGGCTATCCGGCGGACCCGCACCCTGCCGCAGCGCAGCTCGCCGCCCGAGGAGGACGGCGGCCGGCCGGCGCGGCCCGTCTGGGTTCCCAGGTACGGCAGAGGGACAGGGGCAGCGCGGGGTGTGTGAGAAGGACAGGGGGTCAGCGGCCGGCCGGCCCGGCCCATGTGGGTCCCCAGGTACGGAGAGGGGTGTCAGGGAGGGACGGGGACAGCGCAGGGTGTGTGGGAGAGACAGTGGACGGCGGCCGGCTGGCGCGGCCCGTCTGGGTTCCCAGGTACGGAGAGAGACAGGGGGACAGCGCAGGGTGTGTGGGAGGACAGGGGACGGTGGCCGGCCGGTGCGGCCCGTCTGGGTACCCAGGTAAGGAGAGGGGTGTGTGGGAGGGACAGGGGGTCAGCGCGGGGTGTGTGGAAGAGACAGTGGACGGCGGCCGGCCGGCTAGTGCGTCCCTTCTGGGTCCCCAGGTGCTGGAGAGGGACATGGGGACAGCGGCTGGCCAAGGAAAGGGACAGGGGGCCCCTCTGGGTCCCCAGGGACGGCGGGGTCCGGCGGCTCCAGAACAGACACAGCGTGGGGTTTGTGTGTGGGGTGGACGGGAGTGGAGGTGACAGGAATGGCAGGGCGGCGGTCTGGGAGGAATGGGGGAATATGTAGGTGGCGCGGGCATCGCCACGTGTGGCGGAAAGTGGTGTCTGAGGTGTCTGGCCAGAAGTTAGCGGCTGCTGATCAATGATTGATGTTTGGTAAGTGTGTTGGCGGTGGCTAATTTGTGCCTGATCGTGACACCGAATAGGAAACACGGCTTGCTGGTGCCCAATATTGAAGGTGATTTGAATTGACGCACTATGTACTTATTTGAAGGGATGTAATGTACTTGCTGGACCATCGAACCCGATAAAACACGAGCAAACATAATAATGAAAGAACTGACTATTGGTCCTGCGACTTTTCCAAGCGATCTTGCATAATATTCTATGAACATGTGGCTCCTCAGTCTTCATGGTGGGGATTTGTGATCAGTTGCTCACCTTCTATTGAATTGGGACATTTATGAGGACGAATTGTTGCTGGGAATATTACTAGTTCTTGTTGGTGCCTTGCGTCATGTATAACATTCGGTTTCAGGCGAATTTTGCGGGAGGGCAGAATACATCAAGACGTGCTCTTAGCTGCTTATTGCCATGAACAAGATGTATTACTTATTTCCAAACATTTCTATATCGCTGTCGGACAAAATGCTAGTAGAGCCCAGGCTGATATATAGCTCCGTTACACTGTCCAACCTCCCTCCTCCCTAGACGTTCCTGCTGTGAACCGGCTGCCTCAAATACCCGCCGACCATGATCAATGGGCGCCAGTTGCCGGCTCCCGGCGGCGGCAGCCGGATGTGTGTGACGGCTGCTGACGGCCGGAGCCCGGCCCGAGCCGGCCGCTTTTATTGACGCGCGCCGCCGGCGGGCATCGATTGGCTTTTGCTCACTAAATGATGGCCGTCTTAGCGCACTAACGATAGTGTCAGGCGGCGGTATTGGATGTATTATGTGACATGTATCGGAAGCCTGAGAGACGGCCGCGGCCAAATGGTCTCGCGACACGAAATGGAGATGGCAGCTACGGCCATTGGTCTTCGAGGCGGTGACAGTGAAACGCAGATGGCAGGGCCGTAGTCTGCTATGTGCGTCATTCGACCTTCGGCGGTCTGCTCATTGCTCAATGCTCATGCACTTCGGTAGCTCAGCACACGTGCCCGAAGTCGAACATATCACGTCATTTGTAAATTGAATCTTTTTTTTTGTGAAATTAGAGTTTTAGCGTCACATTTCTATTCAAACCATTTGATTCCGCTCAGTATGCCGCTCAATGCCACGCTGTCTCTTTTCTACCCGATTTCTGTGTTTGCTGTGTTTTGCACTCCGTCCTTATTGCATCTCACCGTTTCCACTCTGGAGTCTCCAGGTTCCCTGCCATGCCGTCTCCCTCCACCCGTCTGACGCGACTCTCCCTCTCTCTTCAGACGGACGTCCGGCTACCAGAAGGTGTCGACAGATTGCGACGACCCGGCGGCCGGCACCCGACACGACATCGGTGAGTGGCGGCTCGGTCACTGACCGTGTTCACTCAGTCCGGGTCAAGCAGTCCAGTCAGTCTCACTCAGTCCGGTCAGTCCGGGACTAGTCAGGTCACCCCCACAGCTTGGTACGAGCAGTTCGGTCCAGTCTGACCCGTCTGTAATCAGTCTGGTCAATCCTGCGGTCCGGAAACACTGGGGTCAGCTCTGGAGTCTTGGGACAGCCTGGTCAGTCGTGAGGCCGAGTACAGTCCGGCTGCACTGGTAAACAGCCCGACTGCTTTCTGAGGACAGTCACGTAGGGTAATCCGCACTCGATGAAACGGAGGAAGAGCTGCGGAGGTTGCCCGCCTCGTGAGCAACAACAGCCCTCTGTCTATAATTTGATACAGTCTGGCTTCTTTGTAGTTCCACCTTTGCAAGGTCACCAGCGCTCAGTATTTTAAGTGATAGATGTCCTTCTGATCTCTGGTTTAGTCGCCGCGCTGACTATCATGAGCCCCGGAAGCCTCATAACCTCAGTCATCTTCATCATCATTTGATTCATCCGCCTTGGCTTAAAGATTAATCCGATGGCTTTTAACCTCGTCTTTTGCGATGGCGGCTCAGTATAAATTCATGTCACTCGGTCGCAGCTGGGTTACAAGTCCTTGATCAACCTTGCTGTCAGGTCCTGGGTACCCTCCTGCTGCCATCTGAAAGAGTCAGTGTTCACTCCTTCCCAGTGTCGGGCAGTGATACGTCACATGACATCGAGGCATCGAGTAAAAATGAGGGTTTCATCCATTATTGCCTATTTAGTTTCCCTGTTCAGTTCTTTAAAGTGCATGGATAAATTGTTTTATTGCTCTTAGCTTAAAACAAAGGAGCTTTTGATAACATTGCTAAGCGACCGGCTTCAATTATCATCTTTCTTTTTATATTAGGCCCTTCTCTTAGCTAGGAGGCCTGGTCGACATTCAATTTCTGTCGTGTCAGTGCATTTATTGCACTGGCATGCATAATTTGCATATCTTATGTATAGCGTCTTCTTGTGATCTAATCAACGCGCCAATACACTTTATGCAATGTCCCCAACTCTCACCAGGTGCTCTGGGACAAGACGGTTCTGTTCCGATTCCAAGGCGTCCCAGTAAGTAGCGTTCACTAATTGCCGCTCACCCGCCGCTCATTAACTATCGCCCAGTCGTCAGGGACCGACTGTCCTGCCGGGGTGCTGTGAAGCTCCGGGTACTAACACGGCGTGGGGGGGGGGGGGGGGGCGCTGGCCGCCGGCTGCCGGGTCTGGGGCGAGCGTCGGGTGTGTGATAGATGGAATATTAAACAGCCGGGAGCTCAGCTGGGTGTCGGTAACTAGAACCGCTAATAAAACCACTAAATCAATCGCCGATGACCATGCGCCTGTCTTGGGTGTGAAATATTGGCATGAGGGATGGCTTCGGTGGGGAGGTAATCCATGTGCTTGCAGATAAGGGACACGGCTAAAAACTGACCGTCCTAGGGTGAGGCGCTGTCATCACAAGATACCGTGTTTTCCTGCCATATACGCTACGATTCCGTTCCTTCTTCTTCTTCCTTGCCAGCTTAGGCCGGGTCCCGTGGGGCCCGGCCCGTCTCCACCAGGAAGTCTACGATGAGGTCAGCTTCGGTGGAGAATATCTCCCCCAGCGTCGGCAGGGGGCCCCACCGGCGGGTCCGAGGCCCCTGGTGTGCGGGGCAGTCCATCAGCAGGTGCGGGACCGAGTCCGGCTCGCCGCAGTCGACGCACGCGTCGGACTCAGCCAGCCCGAGTCGGTGCCGGGTGTCTCCTGTCAGGGGCGAACATCCCACCCGGAGCTGCGCCACGGTTACCGACGCTCGGCGGTCCAGTCCGTCGTGCCCGGGCGTCGGGTCGGGGTGCGGGTGGCTGCGTCTGGCGCGCGCATCACACATCGCCCGCGCCCGGCGGGCCACCGCGGCTCTCGCCGACCACAGGTCCACGGGGATCTGGTCCTGTCTGCGCGAGCTCCCGATCGCTGCCAGACGGTCCGCCTCCTCGTTCTCCGGCAGGCCCGCGTGGCCGGGCACCCACTGCAAGTGGAGTCTGTGGCCTGAACAAGTGATGGTGTCTAGCAGGTCCCTGATCTCCGCTACCAGAGCCGACTGGGAGTCCGCCGTGTCTTGTAGCGACTGGATGGCTGCACGCGAGTCGCAGCAGAGGAGGAGCAGCATGCTCGGCCGGTCAGGCAGATCGCCCGCGGCCTCGGCCAGCGCCTCGCGGATGGCCACGAGTTCGGCCCGGGTGCTGCTGCATACCTTCCCGGCCGCTACCGTTAGCTGAACGGTGCGGGACTCCTGGTGGAAGATCAGCAGGGCTCCCCCTCCGCCATCGTGCGTGCCGGCCCCAGCCGAACCGTCGGTCCAGATGGACACGTCGGGCTGCGGGAGAGACGCCAGCGTCGTCTCCGCTGCAGCTCTTCTCGCTTCCGGTGGGTTTGTGCGCGAGGTGGGCACCGTCAGAGAGGTCGATGTAGTCAGACTTGTGGAGTCCGGTAGAAGGACAGGCGGTGTCAGGGCCAGCGGCTCCGCTGGGAGCTCCGCTAGGCCCGCCTCGCTCGCCATCCAGGCAGCGACTCGCCGCACGCAGGGTTTTGCATCCAGCACGACGTCCTCATCGCACGGCAGGGGAGGGCCGGAGTTTGTGCCGGCTTGCTGAACCTCTCGAATCCAGGCTTCATGGGATCCGTTCCTCAGGCTCCTCCTGATGTGCACATAAATGTGGCCAATGAAAATACAGGTTGGTTTTGATTTGGTGCTTGCTCTGTGCTGCTATTGTAAATTGCTTATTGTGCAGACCGGACATGTCATTCGCATTGGTATGCACCGGTTCAAAATAGAAGACTACGCACACGGTAACTTCTGGTTGGTTAGATACCATGAAGTCTTACGATTTCCTGACTTGTATGGTCTTTTTTAGGCCTTCATTGGTGTGTCAACCATGCCAATATTCGGTTATTTACTCATGGTTCTCTTCGGCTCTATCGTCTTCGGTTCAAGTTCGGCGTTCGTCCTCCTGGTTTCTTGCAATTTGTCTACCTTGCCCGTTCGGCCGGTTCCTTCCCTTCACGTCCCGTCCCGTCTCACCCGCCCCGTCCATCTGCCCCGTCCCACCCCGTCCGCCCCTTCTCTCCCCATCGCAGCCCGTCCCATCCCGCCCTCTCTGCCGCCCGGGCGTCGCTGATTGGTGTCGGCTCCCCGAGGTATCCCCATCGGCCGGCCTATATTGGCTGCGGCCGGCCGGGCCTGATTTAATTTGTCATGCGTCTCTCGGAACACCGGTCCGGCCACCGCTCCGGGCCCGCCGAGGTGCCAGGACGACGGAAAATCCGGCCCAGGTTCCGCCTCAACAGGCTCGGCTGACTAGGCCGCGGCTAGTTTGGGGCTGTTTGTTGTTTTGATATAATTATTCGAAGGTTTATTCTGGTGGTTCGCTGCCACGTGACTTTTCCAGTGTCCGGGTCCTGGTCCGGCCTGGCTGCACTGTTGGCCTGTGGTCTGCTGCAGACAGTAGACCCCGCCCGTGGTCCCCCTGGCCGCCCCGTGCCGTCCGCGACCCTGGCCCGTCTCTGACCCCGTCCCGCGGGACCTCCGAGACTCAGAGGTCCCAGGGTTATCAGCCGGCGATAGGCCGGGATAAGATGTTTGTACACCGTGCTGCTCCGGGGCCAGGGGTGAGCACAGCGGAATCTCTGGCGTAGTTTCATTGTTTATTGCTTGGTTTGTTTGCAACATTGGATTGTAGTTAAATTTACTAAATATGTTTTAAATGTTTCTGAAATAACTGCTTCCTACTTAGGTATGTGTCAAATGATTTGCAGACCATTCATCGATAGCGTTTTTAAAGTTAAGATTTTTAAATCATTACGGCTCTATAAATGCGTTTTATTGATTACATACACAGCCGATGCTCTGATTTTGCTGTTTAATCATGTGAGGTGATTGGGTTTAATGATTACCATACTTAATGTGATAGTTGTTTTATCCATACATTAGGAAGATTTTTCACCAATCCTATATAAGGCAGCTGATAGTTTGAAAGACGTTATTGTGCCGATGCGTTTTAGCGCTAAATGAATAATGATGGGTTCATGCTTTCTTTTAGGGCACTCTTGGAATTTATCTTCAAATTTGTTGCTGCATACATTTGTAGCCATGGAGCATCGATTTAACGTCTCGTAGTGAAGGCTTTGACCATTGGATGGTAAAATATCGAGTCAGTGGCGCTAAATTTAAACATAAACTTGATGTGGTGTCTCGTATTTTTCAAAAGTGGCAGGCGCTTTGCTATCGTACACTACGAAGTTTGCTTAGTAGCCGAAGTAACTAGTTATAACATTTAAAAGTTTTATTAAAAAGTTGAAGAACTACGATTGAAGCTGGTTTTAACGAACATGGGACAGGTCCCATTCCCTTCGAGCCGTGAACGGGAATTCGGAAAGACCGTTTTAGATGCCAGTCGATATCAGCAGGACAAACTGAATTATAAAACAGCTTTCGTTCTCAGATTTAGCAATCGATCTACCTTTCTAAGGTAAGAACAGCCCGCCAGGAGCGGCCGCTGTCGTTCCTGGCAGGCGCCTCCTCGCCCGTCCGATTCGAGCCATGCGGCACAGTATGTGTTCAGGCGTCCGACGCCGCTGCCACCTAGCGGCAGAATGGCGCGGCTCTCGCGGCGGCTGCTCTGCCCGCACAGCCGCTGCGCTGCCCGATGCTGATCGCCGTCAGCGCCGTCTGTGTGTTTGGTGGGGAAGGTGGGCGTGGCAGTGCTACGAGCCGTTAATTGCATAAACGCTCCATAAATATGCGTATCAATTGCATAGTTTTTTTTCAAGCCTCGCTTTACAGCGAGCGAACTTGACTAATTACCACAAAAAACACCAAGTCCATAATTTCTTCTACAATCTCGGGTCCATTGGTCTGACCCGTTTTCGGTACAATCGCAAGATATTTCACACTCATCAGTCCTGCTCAAGCACGCATACTTATCAACAAGTGGTTCATTCGCTTGAATGTTTTATGCGATATCCATGAGTGATATTTCACTCAAGATACCGCTTTGGCTTGTGAGTCCGTTTTCCTGTTTATCGACGTTATTCGACCGGTCCTCACCTCACCACAATTACTGGTTACCTGCCCGACCAGGCCAAGGATACGTGCGGCCGGCGCGGTGGTACGATCGTCACTGACCACAGCCGCGTCACGGGCCTGCCCTCGTTCAATGACACTGGAGCGGACAATGGGTCGTGTTCGACTCCGGCGCGACAGGGTCACAGCATTGGACTAAACCGTGCTTCATCGCGCACGGCGTCGGTGACATTGGCACCGGCCGGCGCGGTGGTAGTTCTCTATGACCGGCCCCGGTGATAGCCCCGGGCTGTATGTCCCGTTTTGTGACTATATAGCTGATGTTATGACTTGGTCGGCAGAAAGCCACCATTCGGTTCCGGGTGGTAATAGCAGACCTGTGTTTCGTTCCGAGACTCGCCAATGTCACTGGCTTTGTCTCGGGCTGAGCCGTAATTCCATTCCGGCTGTGTAGCTGGTTCATTGTTCTCGCTCCGCGGAAGTTCTCTGTGACGTTGGACCTTGTTTGGGCAAGGCAGGCCGTTGGGTACGTTTGTAGCTTTGTACCGTCCTATCGACTGCTTGATCAATGCTCATGCAGCTTATTAAAGGGACCCTCCCACCTTAACATTAGATTTGAGTTGAGATAGCCAAAATGGGGTCCCTGGCTCACAATTACCGGTTTCGGCACTCACAACATCGAGAAATGCCTTAAATCGGAAATATTGAATTTCAAAATTGCAGCATTTTGATTCAGAGGGGCTAATGCTTAGGAATACCCCTCTGAATGTGTGACGTCAGCGCAGATATCTAACGATTTTTAAATGTTTGACTAAAACGTTTTGTAGCACGCGGTGGTATATGCTATTTGCGCGCAACATCTGCCGCAAACGCCGCACTTCTAAAATAAAGTCGCTAGAAACAGCGGAGATCCCAAAAAGTAAACAAAAGTAAAAGTCTAATATCTTGAAAACTGGTGAATATTTTTCGGTGAAATTTGGTAGATATTCGTTTTCGCTCTTTCTGAAC